GGGGAACCAGGTCAGGGTGGGCCAATACAGCGCCACAAGCAGGACCTGCTCCTCGTCCTCCCTGACCTTGCACAGCGTCTGTGCGAAACGGCTCACTGGGGGAATCGCATACTTGCGCAGGCTCCGCAGCCAGCTGTGTGCCAGTGCATCCCTGCCAAGTGTTCCCTCGGTCAGGGTGTAGAACAACTGGCAGTGAGAGGTTTCTGGCGGGCAAGTTGCGACATGCAATGGGAGCGCAGACCACCTTGTCGGTTGATGTATGCACCGGTCGCCGTGTTGTCTGTTCGGACCAGCACGTGCTTGCCTTGTAAGCACCCTTTGAGACGGTTAAAGGAAGGCTATAGGATCTAGCGACCGTGGGTGTCGCCTAGCCCGCAGCTCTACAAGTATCTGTCAGCACGGTGCCACGAGCCAGCGCCCAGGAGGATGCAATACTCCTATTAGAGTGCTCGCAACCTGAGCGGGCAGGGCACACCCTGTGCCTGATAAGCCAGGGTGATGGCATCCACTGTCCAGTGGGCCATCCTTTGCTTAGAGACGGCATTCCCCTTCTGCCGGCCTCCATAACAGACTAAGAGCTGGTCTGAGGTCGTAAAGCTTTGTGTCCTGTCTACGTAGCCTCTGAAGGCTCGAACAGGACAGAGCAAAGCTAGGGCTGGGTCTGCCTCCTCGTGGGGCAGCACTTGCAGGCTCACCATGTGATCCCTGAAGGGAGTAGTGGGAACCTTGGGCACATAGCCGGGCCGGGGCCTCAGGATTACCTGGGAGTCAGCCGGCCCAAACTCTAGGCACGAATCGCCGACCAAAACTGCATGCAGGTCCCCTACCCTCTTGATGTAGGCCAGTGCAAGCAGGAGCAGAGTTTTCAACGAAAGAAACTTTAGCTCAACTGACTGCAAAGGCTCAAAAAGCTAGGGCTGGGTCTGCCTCCTCGTGGGGCAGCACTTGCAGGCTCACCATGTGATCCCTGAAGGGAGTAGTGGGAACCTTGGGCACATAGCCGGGCCAGGGCCTCAGGATTACCTGGGAGTCAGCCGGCCCAAACTCTAGGCACGAATCGCCGACCAAAAATGCATGCAGGTCCCCTACCCTCTTGATGTAGGCCAGTGCAAGCAGGAGCAGAGTTTTCAACAAAAGAAACTTTAGCTCAACTGACTGCAAAGGCTCAAATTGGCCCTGCTGTAGTGTTTTAAGCAGTAGAGACAGGTCCCATGAGGGTATGGAGGGGGGCCAGGGAGAATTCAACCTTCTCGCCCCCCTAAGGAACCTGATGACCAGGCCATGCTTACCTACCGACTTCCCTTCCACGGGGTCATGGTTAGCAGCAATCGCATTTTACATAAACTTTAAGGGTGGAAGAAGACAGCCTTTGCTCCAGCCCATGCTGCAAAAAGGAAAGCACGACTCTGATCGGGCATCTCCGGTGGTCTTCTCGGTGAGAAGACCGCTCGACGAACAGGTTCCACTTCAAGGCGTAAGCGTGTCTCATAGACGGTGCTCTTGCCGAAGTAATGGTGTCAACTACCTCTTGGGGTAGGTCACCTAGAACCTCCGCGTTCCGTCCAGGGACCAGACATGAAGTTTCCAGAGGTCTGGACGTGAGTGCCACAGGGTGCCCCGCCTCTGAGTCAGTAGAACCTTCCTCAGAGGAATCTGCCTGGGAGGGGCTGTCTCGAGGAGCATTAGTTCGGGGAACCAGGTCAGGGTGGGCCAATACAGCGCCACAAGCAGGACCTGCTCCTCGTCCTCCCTGACCTTGCACAGCGTCTGTGCGAAACGGCTCACTGGGGGAATCGCATACTTGCGCAGGCTCCGCAGCCAGCTGTGTGCCAGTGCATCCCTGCCAAGTGTTCCCTCGGTCAGGGTGTAGAACAACTGGCAGTGAGAGGTTTCTGGCGGGCAAGTTGCGACATGCAATGGGAGCGCAGACCACCTTGTCGGTTGATGTATGCACCGGTCGCCGTGTTGTCTGTTCGGACCAGCACGTGCTTGCCTTGTAAGCACCCTTTGAGACGGTTAAAGGCAAGGCTCACTGCTAACAACTCCTGGCAACTAATATACCAGTGCATTTGGGGGCCCGTCCATACCCCCGACATTGCATGCCCATTGTACGTGGCCTCCCAGCCGGTGGTGGAGGCATCTGTGTAAACCACGGCATGCCTAGAGACCTGTTCTAGGGGCACTCCTACCCGGAGGAACGTAAGGTCTGACCACGGGGTGAAGGTTTGGCGACAGGCCAGTGTAACTTGGACCCGGTGAGTGCCGCGCTGCCACGCCCACCTCGGGACTCGGCCATGAAGCCAGTGCTGAAGCAGTCTCATATGAAGCAGTCCCAGCTACGTAACTGCCGCTGCAGCTGCCATATGCCCCAGGAGCCTCTGAAATAGTTTCAGTGGGACCGCTGTCCTGCCCTTGAATGAATTCAAGCAAGTCAGCACCGACCGCACACGTTCCTCTGTGAGGCGTGCTGTCTGTTCGACCGAACCCAACTCCATACCGAGAAAAGAGATCCTCTGCGTCGGGGAGAGTTTGCTCTTTACCCAGTTGACCTGACGGCCCAACCGGCTGAGCTGCGAAAGCACCAATTCCCTTTGTGCACACAGCTGATGCTGAGACTGAGCTAGTATGAGCCAGTCGTTGAGGTAGTTGGGAATGTGAATGCCCTGTTCTCTCAGGGGAACAAGGGCTGCCTCCACAACTTACGTGAAGACACGGGGCGACATGGACAGCCTGGACGGCAGGACTTCGTATTGATATGCTCACCCTTCGAACGCGAACCGCAGAAATGGTCTGGGGCGCGGAAGGATCGACACATGAAAGTACTCATCCTTCAGGTCAATCGCTGCAAACCAATCTCGGGGATGGATGCACCCGAAGATGCGTTTCTGCGTCAACATTTGCTGGGCCAAGCTCTCGACCGCGTCGCCGAAGAGGCCGGTCTGGGACACAGGGGGATTAAGGAAACAAACTTTGTCGGCGTCCCTCACAGCACGACAGGGGGTAGTGCAGCCTGAAGTGCGCAACCCACTCGGCACAGGAACGACCACCATTGAAGCGCCGTCCGCCATCACAAAAAGCTCCAGAGAGCGCTCTAGACTCTTCACACACGAAGCAGTTTGGTAGGAGCAGAATGATGTTGTCGCTCAGCTCCGAAGTGAAAAGCTGGTATGCGTTGCACTGGCTGCCTTTTTATGCTCACACTGTGATCAGCGGCAGCTGGATGCAATCATCGCATGCCAATGTGCATTGGCTCGTTTAGTTTACACTCAAAGTGGATTGGTCTCTCTAAGCGAGATCCCAATTCGTCGGTCACCGACGTGACTCGGAGTGACCAACTGAAAGGGAACGCAAGTTACTTTGTTTTCCCATTTATTGACTGACAGCTGTCCTGTCCCAGTGTTGAGAGAAATGAGGTGCAGAGGCACAATTTCACTTTTGGTGTGAAAGGGCCTTTACAGTTGCTAAAAGTATAACCTTTGGGTTTTTGTCTAATAAGCAAGCCCAGCCCAGGTGACTAAAAAAAATAACGTAAAAGTAACGCAATGCATTAATTTCCATAAAGGGTAACACAATATTGTAATGCATTACTTTTAAAAGTAGCTTTCCACAACACTGCTCACCAAGGCTGCATTTATTTGATCAAAAATACAGTAAAAACTAATATTGTGAAATATTATTACAATTTAAAATAACTGTTTTCTCTTTGAATACATACAAATTTTTTATTTATTTATGTGGTGGCAGAGTTTCAATTTCAGCATAATTTCTCCAGTCTTCAGTGTCACATGATCCTTCAGAAAGGGGCTAATGGTTAGAGAGTCGGACTCGTAACCCAAAGGTTGCGGGTTCGAGTCTCGAACCGGCAGGGATTGTAGGTGGGGGGAGTGAATGTACATCACTCTCTTCCACCTTCAATAGGGCAAGGCACCAAACCCCCAACTGCTCCTGGGCGCTGCAGCAAAAATGGCTGCCCACTGCTCCGGGTGTTTGTTCACGGTGTGTGTTCACTGCGTGTGTGTGTGTTCACTGCTGTGTGCTCTTTGGATGGGTTAAATGCAGAGCACTAATTCCGAGTATGGGTCACATGTCACGTCACTTAAAAGAAATCATTCCAATGTGTTGATTTGCTGCTTAAAAACATTTCTTATTATCAATGTTGAAAAAATTGTGCTGCTGAATATTTTTTAGGATTCTTAGGTGAACAGAAAGTCAGAAAGAACAGCATTTGTCACTTTTAATGCATCCTTGCCTAATAAGAGACATTTGAACAGTAATGTGTATGGTTTGAGTGTTTGTTTGGTAAATGTCTCTTGAATTTTGATGCTTTCATGCTCTTAACAGGAAATAATTTACCACACAAAACAAATTCACAATATTGCATAGGAACCCATAGTTGGGATCATATTTTCCTTTAATTTATGTTGTTTTGTTCATGCTTTTTAAGGATGTCATGCATCCTGTCCATGGCAGCATTATTATCATCAGTAATTAACTATCTAATGAAACATGAATGTGCATCAATTTGACAGATTTATTTCCAGCCTTTGACATCAACAACAAAAGACATAGAAAGTGTTTTTTCTTCCCGTTTAAAAGTTGTAGATAGTTTTCTAACCAAACTAGTTTTTAACATTGTATTATTTGCATTAAGCATTGTTTTCATTAGAACAGACCTCTGACCCTTCAGTTGAGAATCGCTGGCCTCAGAGGTCAGCTCGTGTTGTAGACAAAAGCTTTAAAAATAGATTTTTCTTTAGACCCTTGATTTATGTGTGCTGCTTTTGAATACAGTAGTTAAACTCTTTTCAACTCTTAAAGCAAAGGTCTTTTGTGGAGGTGGAGGGCCTATTGAACTTCTCTATTGTTTATACAGTATTCAACAGGAAACTGACATTTATGTCACAGTATCTGCGCTGGAACTGAGCGTTCTCCACTGCACTCGGCTGTGTGTTGTTTAATGCTGAATGAAGTTTGTCATTTGCTCTGGTTTATATCTGCAGGTTTAGTCTGGTGAGTGAGAACGCTCCTGTCGGGACGCCTGTGGGAATTATTCTGGCCACAGCTGTCAACACCACTGTCTTTTACTCCATAGTGAGTGGAAATGAAGGAGGTGAGTTTTTACTCTGGAGGGAATTCATTAAATCAACTGGATCCAACCAGCGCATTGTTTTCCTGGTTGAGTTGCAGGTGATTTGTGAATAAGATGCAACCGTGGATTTCTAGTGACCCATCGTTGGTGTTGGAGGTGCTGTGAACTGTTCTCTGATCAGTTTGTGTTTGCAGGTGAGTTCACAGTCAATAACCGCACTGGGATCATCTACACAAATAAACTTCTGGACTATGAGAGTGTGACCAGTTATGTGCTCCGCGTGCAGGCCGATTCTCTCGCCATCATCCTCGCCAACCTGCGTGTTCCCTCCAAAAGTAAGAATAACACTAAAGCACACCTCATCTTTTCCAAGGATTTTATTTGGGAATCTTACAGATTAAGAGTCAAATAAGTTACATGTACAATACACATTCCACTGATCTATATACAGATATATATGACCACACATTTCAAATGAAATATATGAATATATGAAAGATATATTTTGGTGAACTTCATGAAACTTGTCATTAGCACATGTGATGTTTCTTTTCTTCAATATTTGGGGTGAAATAAGAAATTGAAGCCAGTTTTTAGGACTATTAATATATATATATATATATATATATATATATATATATATATATATATATATATATATATATATATATATATATATATATAC